TCTTGTTCATTGACGTTTCTTATATTGGCACGCTCTTCAATTTTTACTTTCACTTTATTAGAATTTCCAATTTTTTTTTCACGTGCCTATGTAGTAGCATCGCGGTGATGCTATGTACTTTTCTTTCCTCTTTTTGGGACTTGTTTTATTTTCTTTTCGGAAGGGGGGATAATGCCACCAGTACGTAGTGGGTCGACAGCAAGAGCGGCTCTCAATCTGGAGGAAAAAGAAGATCGCGTGCTTCTTCTCTGCTCGAGAGCCAGCCACGACTGACGCATCGTCCTAGAGATTGCTACCCGGTGGTTTAATAAATCCCCCAGTACTTGTGACTCATCGTGACCCTATTATAGCCACAAGCAGACAATGTGTTAATGAGCTCCCTGGAGGTCAGGTCATTTTTCATAATATTTATGTTAAGATCACTGCCTATAAAATGTCGTACTGATTAAATGTTGAATATTCTAAGATTTACTCAAGAAATTTCAAAAATGTGCTGAGGTGACCAGACGGTGGGCAATGACATGCCACATACAGGTTGTTGTTATTCTTTATGCAAAGCACTTCATAATCAGGTGTAATACATGTAAATCCCGAAACTCTGTCGCAGAGCATGGGTTTTCTTGCGTGAATTGCTACTCTGCCACCTCGGAGCATACTTCGATTGATGAAGTAGTGATTATAGTTAATGAGATTCAGCATTTCACTTTCTTCATGATACCATGTTTCAGTCATCATAATCACATTGAAAAGGAAGTTGAATTCGCTAAAAAATGAACTTAAATCATCTATTTTAGGAGCCGCAGAACGCGCATTGAGGTGAATAGCAGTGAACATGCTCTGCGACTGCGCCGGAAGTTTAAGTTCAGATGGCAGACAAAATTCCTGATATTCTATCGCGTGCACAAGAAAAATTACAAAAATTTTGGCCACAAACACCCTAGGCAATCTTGCCTAGGTCACAATCAGTTTGAATGCGCACCACTGGACTCGACTGTGTTTTGCGAGCGAGAATTCTTCCATTATTTGTCCACACATACTGCCAGTGATGCTCCCGTTTCTTAGCGAGTGCCTGTGCAAGCAGCCGCTTTAGTGTAGGACACAGATGCTCATTCACAAAAATTTGTTTTTCGCTCGAGATTCCTATGTTGCTATTCCTAATGCGATTTTTGCGGGCTTTCTCGACGACAAGGTCTCGTTTCTGCCTGCTTTTGAACTGCACAACAACGTTTGTTTTGCTCCGCTCACGAGTCGGTACGCGGTGACTCGCCAGCAGAAATCAGTTCACCTACTACGTCGCCAATCGTGCCTACATGATCGGTGTTGTTTTCATTCTCCATCTTGCGAGCCCTTTTATTTCAACGTTTGATCTGCGGGAGTATTGTTCACACTGAACAACCTGCTTCCGCAGTTTGACAATGACTGACTCATTTGCGGCGCATTTAGCTTTTAGCCCCTCGTTTTCCTTCCTTAAGCACAACAACGGTGCTGAGTCCTACATTGCTAGTGTCTGTGTGTACTTCTGTTTTGGCGTATTTGTCGAAATGTGCAAGTATCGGCGATGTTTGCAGGCGTCATTTAAGTTCCTGAAATGTGTCCTCTTGTGTCATGTCTCACCTGAATTTGACATCGGTTTTTATGAGATGAGTTAGTACATTTCGAGGAACCGGCATACTGCTTCTTGTCGGTGGGCGGCGGGAAATTGGTATGGCGGCTGTTTTGCGTGGATTCCACAAGTGGGCCCCACAAATTATACTCGTGTAGGTTTTCCATGTGTAAATTATAAAGAACATGACTTTATTTTTCTACTGGGTGTTGTATATAAAGAGGTGCTGAACTAACCAAGGTGATAATAATAATTGTTTTGTCTTCATGCAGTGTAATTTCGCATTTTGCACTTCTCAAAAAGTTGGATGTGTTAGGTGCACTTCATAGTCAATATAGCGTCTTTGCATGCAAAGTGGGCTGTGTAAGTAGACGTAGCAAGTTCTATGGTGTAATATTATTCTAACATGGCCGAAAAGCTGTGTACGAATAATTTGAAAAGCGAGTCTAGTCGAATTACTTCGAGGAGGAGTGCATGTGCAGTAGGTTTACCCCCGTATCTTTCCCTTCATTGCCAAGGAAAGTTATCCCCCAGTTTAGCCATGAGACTTTTTCCCAATCATGCCGTAACTGTGGAGTTACATGTGTTTGATTATGAAAAAAAGGCCCTCGCCTGTTTCCCTCTTATGCGCCGTACGTTGGCTCGTCCCTACACGTGACCATGCGAGGGGCAAGAGCAGCAAGCGTTGCATAGCTGTGAGCAGTTGGGGGCGACACGAGATTGTCACAGTGTCAAAAGGCTTGGAGGGAGAAGGTCTAGGAACTTGTGGGTAGCCTTCAGCTTGTAGGGCTGCTGTGTATACTTGCTCTGAATGTTAAATTCGAAGTGGTTTGGAGGCCCGGTAAAAGGCATTACACAATGCGTCTCCTTTACCCGTAAACACGTTCCATACATATTTGACTACTCATTAGACACTGTCCGGCTAACATGAGTAACTAAGTATATATACCTTGGTGTTTATTTTTTCATCAAATCTTACTTGGACTAGGCACGTTGAGTATGTTACTGGGAGGTCTTGTAGAATTTTGATACTTTGGCTTAGCTTCTCCCAAAATCAGAGAATTACTTTATTTTTTTAATGTCAGACTATGTTGGAGGATGCCTGTGTAGCTGGGGACTCTCAAAGTAAAACCTTGTCGAACATGCTGGTACATACCATGCAGCCCGTTTTGTCAGTTGTAACTGTAGCTTCACGTTAAATGTTGCTGCAGTAAAGAATAGGTAGGGGTGGGAATTACCGTGTACACATAGAAAGCAGACAATAAATTAGAATGGCTTTTTAAAATTTTGCACGGCTACGATAAACAAAGATTCTTGCATTTTACCTCCTCATTCTAGTCCCACAAAAGTGACCGCTCTCTAAAAATAAAAGAAAGTTGTTACAGAATTACGCAGTGTGCAGGGGAAGTTGGAGATACTGTAGTTAAAAAGGGCACTGGCAAGCTGTCCCAGAAAACGAAGAATCTCATTAAGAAGGGTCAAAGCATGAAAGCCTCGAGTACAACAGACAAAATAGAGTTGGTAGAGCTTTCGAAGTTGATTAATAGGCGTAAGATATCCGATGTAAGGAGGTATAACATGCAGAGAATAAACACGCTTTGAAGAACGGAGGAAGCATCAAATCAGTGAAGAGAAAACTTGGGATAGGCAAAAACCAGATGTGTGCACCAAGGGACAAGGAAGGCAAAGTAACTACCAATATGGATAGGATGGTAAAATTAGCGAAGGAATTTTACAGATATCTGTACAGTAGCCAGCACAACCAAGACCTTAATACAAGAACTAGCAGTAACCCAGATGACACCCCACCAGTAATGATAGAAGAAGTCAGAAAAGCTTTGGAGAGCATGCAAAGAGGCAAAGCTGCTGGTGAGGATCAGGTAACATCAGATCTGCTGAAAGATGGAGGACAGATTGTGTTAGAAAAACTAGCCACCCTGTTTACGAGGTGTCTCCTGATGGGAAGAGTACCAGAATCTTGGAAGAATGCTAACATCATCCTAATACATAAGAAAGGAGATGACAAGGACTATGAAGAATTACAGGCCGATCAGCTTGCTCTCCATAGTATACAAGCTATCCACAAGGTAATTGCTAACAGAATTAAGACATTAGAATTCAATCAACCAAAGGAACAAGCAGGATTTCGAACAGGCTACTCAATAATAGACCACATTCATACTATCAATCAGGTAATAGGGTGCTGTAGGTATAAGTATAAAGTAATAGACAAATGCTCAGAATATAGCCAACCACTATACATAGCCTTCATAGATTATGAGAAGGCGTTTGATTCAGTAGAAATATCAGCAGTCATGCACTGCAGCATCAGGGCATCAACGAAGCATATATAAATATCCTGGAAGAAATCTACAGGGGATCAACTGCTACCACAGTGCTTCATAAAGAAAGCAACAGAATACCAATCAAGAAGGGTGTAGGGCTGGGGGTACAATCTCCCCAATGCTATTTACTGCGTGCTTACAGGGCGTTTTCAGAGGCCTAGAATGGGAATAGTTAGGCACAAGAGTTAATGGAGAGTACCTTAGTAACCTGCGCTTCGCCGATGACATTGCATTGCTGAGTAACTCAGGAGACGAATTGCAACTCGTGATTACGGAGTTAGATAAGGAGAGCAGAAAGGTGGGTTTTAAAATTAATCTGCAGAAAATGAAAGTAATCTACAACCTCAGAAGAGAGCAGCGCTTCAAGATGGGTAATAGTGCACTTCAAGTTGTAAAAGACTATGTCTACTTGGATTAGGGAACAAACCGATTTTGGATTAGGGAACGAACTGGGGTGAAGGATATAGTTGAAATCAAGAAGAAAAAATGGACATGGGCCGGGCACGTAGCGCGTAGACAAGATAACTGCTGGTCTTTAAGGGTAACTTAACTAGATTCCCAGAGAAGGCAAGCATGTTAGGGGGAGACAGAAGGTTAGGTTGGCAGACGAGATTAAGAAGTTTGTGGGTATAAATTGGCAGTAGCAAGCACAGGGCCACCAACACGCGTCGAATGTTCCATGGCCCAAGAGTGCAAAATATCCCCAGCTTGAGGCAGAACTTCTTTATTATGTCAAGGGTCTCCACATGAAGGTCCTTGAAACAGTGGACAGTGGCTATAGCATCTGCAAATAAACAGGTTTGTGTTGAACCTGTGGTTTTATTGTTAAGGTAAGTTTTGATCAGTACTTAAAAGTTTATAACACTGGTGGAGGGTTCGGAGTATAGGCAGTGTTGTGTAGGACAGAGCAGTGTACCCCGTGTATTAGGTGGTGCTATAGTTCGGTCTGCAAAGCGTTATAGAAGAATCGTGGCCACTATTTTACCAGTGAAATATGCCTGACCACTGTAGCACTGGGCTCGTATTTGACGCTGCTAATACCGTCTCTGCAGATGATGGCTGGGAGGAGGCGCACGAGAAGTTTGCTGAACTTGAAGATCGAGCCAGGCAGGATTCCTCCATGGTGGATTTACTGGTTGATGAAGACCCTCTTTTGTTGAACCAGGTGCAATGCATGAAAATGAGCAAAGTACTGATCACTTTCCAGCTAGTGATGACGAACCTGTGCCATCTTTCGCTCGTCCACCTAACTCTGAACTTCTGAAGTAATCAAACGAGCAAGAAGAAAGAAGGCACTTTAATAGACTGCCTTACCTGCAGAAAAAAGGAGTGTTGCAATGGGCCTTGTCTAGCACTCCCGTACAATGCCGAGCAAGCGCCCCTCTCCCAAATCTTGTAGGAGCATCCTTCACCGTAGAGTGAGATGCTTTCTCGGCATTTTACGGTTTTCGCTTAGCAATATGTTTTTAGCCATGTTGTACAAGGACTCGCAGGAACAGGATCAATGTCAAAAAATTTTTAGTTATGTTCATGACTTTTAAGCGTTTTTTTACTCTACTTTCGAAAGATTTGACAAGCATTGTGCATCAGTATTTAATAATATTTCGGACTGCCTAAAACTGCTTGAAATCACTTTTAAAGTGCCGTTCGGCAGGAGGACCAGCGTCCTTGACATTACTCTTACTCTCTGCAATTAGAAAATGTGCCTGTACCTTGAACCTAGGGCAAACAACCTGCTTTTGTTGTTTCACTCCGGGCACACTAAACTGGTAAAGACGGGCATTGTGAAGGCGTACCTTAGCAATGCTCCAAGAAATTTGTATCAGCACACCATGCACAATAGCTTCGCAACTCAATGTGATTGGATGCCACATTCCTGTGTTAGTGTTGGAAGGACCGAGTAACAATCTAACGGCTTTAGCGAACGAGTTTATCTGCCTAGGGAATTGGCCGTCGCAAAAAATTTTCCAAATTCGTCAAGCACGAGCTGATTACAGAGATTTGTCGCAATTTACCGTGGTGGTTAGTAGTGGTTACAATTCTCAACTGCTGACCTGCAGGTTGCGCATCTTTGATGAAAGCGAAAATGCTCGAGGCACGTGTTCTTCGATTTGGGTGCACATTCTTCGAAAAACCCAAGTTGTCAAAATTTCCCGAGCCCTCTACTCCGGCGTCTCTCATAATCGTATCGTGGTTTTGGGAAGTGAAATCCCAGCAGTTATTATTATTTATAGATTTGTTGTATTTTGTGACTGCTTTTTGCCTTCTCTCATTCGGAAGAATGCACTGCACTTAGGATAGAACAGAGGGCAGAGAGAGAATAAGCATCTTTATTATTTAAGTGTCATTGTGGGAGTCTCCCCCTTCCAAGAAAAAAGCTACCTCACACCCTCATCACGATCTTGAGCACTTTTTTTTTAACGCACTTACCTCATGAGTGAGGGCACATGGCAGCCTCTCTTGGCAGGCACAGTAGCTATACAGGTTGCGATGGTCATTAGAGAATTTGGCATCATTTCTAGAGAGAAGAGGGACAGATTTATAGCTGACTGAAAATTAGTTGTAAATTCCAGGCTATGTGCTGCACTATAATGTTTGGCTTAAGTGTCCTCAGGAGCCTCGACTGGTACTGTTTTCTGCAGGGCCCTTTTAAAGGGAAGATGCTCGAAAGATGCACTCGTTGCAGTGTAAAAAGAAGTATGCACTGTATTTTCATGGTGTCTCCCATGAAATAAGAAAGGTTGCTCGAAAGGACAACATTGATGTTGTGACTAATAATGTTGTGAGCCCTTGTAGGCCGAAAAAGGTTCAGCCCCACCATGTTCTTCACTGAACATGCCATGTGTTTAGTATAATCCCTCACAGTGGGAAAGGCTACGAGGGCTGATTGGGAGATGATTGAATGATAGGTTGTGTGAGCACTGTAAAAACTTAGAAATGTGGCAACTGACAGCTTGTCGGCTCCCATTGTTAGAAATGCTGGTGCAAAGTGAAATTCAATAAAACTCTTATGAACAGGAATAGGTGTGCTATGATGCAGCTAAGGTGTAGAAGCAAGTAACAAAGCTGTACCTCAGATGTCATTATCCAAGAAGGAGTTGCAGTATCTGTCGACATATCAAAAAGCAGCTCGTGGTTTACAGGCTCATTATCCTTGGTTTACCACTGCATCTGACAACTTGTTGGTTATAGGTGTTCAAATAGGTGTAGCCATCCACAATTGTGTTTTCGTACAGGCTTAGAAGCTGTGCTTGCCATTTAGTGTGTACAGGGTGTTTTTTTTTTTTAAGCAATACAGACTTTTCCTTAAAAAAATAGCATAATAAGTACGCACTTGTCGTCATTGCAGACAATTTCCAGGCCGAGGCAGAAAGATTGTGCAACTAGTTAGATCACTTGGGAGTGATTAATTGATGAAAGTATTAGATTTATTTTTTATATATAATTTTAGGGTGGTTGTTTATATCGCAAGTTGTCTTAAGTCACAAATTATTGAGAGTGTAGTTTTTAAAAATTGAAGATATCACAAGTGGTTTCAAAGATTCATCAGCGAATTTGCTGGCCACGGTGCCGGAGAAACCGAAACTAACGTGTCGAGTGCAGCAAAAAAAGCCAAGTGTGTCAACACTAAGACACTCAGTGCGTTAGTTTCGGTTTCTCCTGCACCGCGGTCTGGAAATCGGACAATAGATCTCTGAAACAACCCATGATATTTTCAGTTTTTCGAAACTAGGCTTGCCATAATTTGTGATGTAGAACAACTCTGCCGTGTAAACAAACAACCTAAAATTAATAATAAAGAAGCTAATTAAAAAATATCTATTATTCAGTGGCAAAGTCTTTCTGCCTCGACCTGGAAATTGTCTGTGGAGATAAGTGCCTGCCTAATGTAGCTTTTTTAAAGAAAAAGTCTCTATTACAAAAAAAAAAAAAACCCTGTATACTGTGAAGTACATTAGTGTTAATGCGGTTCCACTCGTTTTCCAGGAAGTGGTTGAGCAAAGCATCTCTCACCTTGGCCTGGAAGATGACCGAGACGATGACCCGGCTATCAAGTCTTACTCCGAATTCACAACATATGTGAGTGTGCTGTTTTGGGGACATATTACAGTAATGGAATACTCTTGCTTGTGACGCTGAGCTTGTGGGCACACTCGAAACCATTGACCTGCTAGTCTCCTCCGCTTTCATGCTCTCATGACGGTGTGTGGCGTTAAAGGGCGCTGCATTATTATTGTTTGTCTTTTCGTTTTTTGCTGGCCCAGGTGTAACAATAATTGGCTGCAGGAGGGCACCTTAACTGGGTTGGTTGGTGCATGATGGCGACGTCTGTTGTTCGTTGTTGTTCGTTCTCCATCCCTTGTCCAGGGCTGTTTGTTTTCATAGTTGACCGTAGTGATAAAATTTTCCGGTTTCGTCAATATTTTTATAAATGGATTACACTTCAATAAAATCTCGATACAACGAATTTCAAGGGACCATTAAAAATCATTGGTTATTTTGAAAAGTCGTTTAAGTGAAAGTATTAAAAATGTTTGCAAAGAAGAACGCAAACACGTGAGTCTCTTACGTATGCTTCGTATATGTTTGCAACCACTTTATGCTCCTAATAAGGGAGAAAAAAACAAATGCGGAATATTGCGAAACCAGTGCATGTTCATTTCAGAAAGAGCATGATGTATCCTGATGTGGGAAACTACTGCTGAAATGCTTCTTACGCACTGTGAAGCATCAGCCTTAAATACCGTTTCTTCACGTTGGTGCATGTGCGCTGTTTAACGTTTTTTTTTTTTTTGCACTCGTCGCCATTTCCATATCACGCTAGTAGTATAGATCATATGTTAGACTCTCGAATTTCGACCTAATCTCCCAGTTGTATGAATGGTATGTCGAATTTCTTGAAAAGTCCCCGCCACAGCCGAGACGTTTTTTTTCCTTCTGCGACAGTTGCGGTGCTGCCGGAGTCCACTTCCCACTACTGTTATAGTTCATTTTGTGCCGCTAAGTGTAAGGCGAGTCCGGTTATAACGAGTCTGAGTGTGACCCGGCATCCATTGGCTGTATTCCTAAGGTCGTAGTAAATGAAACACAGCTATAAAAAAGTTGCGATAAAAAACACAATTTCTTTTTCCCCAAAAACTATGATGCACGTGTTTCAAATAAAAGTGATAAGGATGGTCTCCAGTTTATTTAAAGCGCCTGAGCGCTCTTCGCCGAAAGACCAGTGGCGTAAGCTGTCTGAGGCTATTAATGCAGACAATTGCTACTAGCACGCTTGTGGGCACTGGCGCCAAAGTTTCGTCGTCCTCTTTATGTGATTTCTATAAATCGCTTTTGCTGTGCGCTTCATTCACAGTACCCTCATCCGTCCACAGTTCTGTAGCGTCGGTATCATTATTGGCCGTAAGGAAATCATTGCAACAAATGACCTGCACGCCCTCCCATGGTGGAGTCGACGACGTGCTGCCACTAATCGCCGCTGGAGTGGTCCTGTTGTGATGCTTCAGGCTTGGCATCGGGCTCAACGTTGTTGAAGTTAGCCTCGTGAAAGCAGTATCGCACACATGTAACCGTCGCCGCCGCCCATGAAGTCTTCACCATCTCTAAAGCCTAATACATAGGCACCTGAAGCGGCAAGTTTGCGGCCGGGTGTCATTTAGCAAGTGCTCCACAATTCGGCACCTATAATAAATCTTTTAATGTGCGGATAATGCCCAAGCCAAGTGGTCACGTGACGTTTTGTTGAGCAGCAGGAAAAAAAAGACCCCCCCCCATGCCCACCATTCACACAACGCACGTACACCAACAATGGGTAAGACGCGCAGGCGTGGAACTGCTCTGGGCCAGTTCTTAGTGAGAAAATGAAACTTCTGAATAATTTCTAGCCGGTGTGGCTGGTGGCTGTTGTCATGGAGCGGTGGAGACGGGTAGAGTTGCAATAAAGATAGGAGGGCAGACTTGCGAGAGACATGCAAAGGAGTTGCGAGAAAGTGAAGAGAGGGGAGTATACGGCGGCAAGGCTACCTTGAAAATCAACAAAAAGCATGGGAAGAAGGCAGGTTGGGTATGTTGCTTGCAGAGTCTATGAAACGTGCAATTTGCGCATAGGAAAGCTTGAGAGAGCAATCTGCGTGCGCAGAGGCCAAATAATTTCATTGTGGTGCAGGCTGACTTGCGTGTCCCTGCCGACTTCGATAATTCGCAATTCGTTTCGTGTAAAAGCCATTTTTACGCTTAACGCAAGCAGAGGGCATGCTGAGCCAAGTGCAAAGTGAGCAAGTACAGGTCATAAACACAGAACGAATTGCGAATTATCAAAGTCGGCGAAGTAGCGCAAGTGCAAGCACCGGAACAATCCAACAGAAGACGCAGATGATCGAGTACAGTTGATGGCCGATGATGTTGGCAAATGGTCTGGTCACTCCAGGTCTGCGACGCCTACAAAAGTGTAAGAAAACCAGCGCTCAGAAACTCAGGGGAGACTAGTTGGCCGACTGGTCTTTGAAAGATCGGTGGCAGTGTGAAAACACGGGCCTCGTGCGACGATGCGGGCTGCTCAGAGTAGCGGAGGGCCAAAGGACGGAGGGGGTGCATAACAAAAACGGTTGGGGAGAGCGACAACTAGAGGGATGCGGAGGCAGGGTCGGCGTTTAGCGATAAAGATACATGGGCACCTCGCCGATGGCTTATCGGGGTAGAAAGTGGTTTCGCGAGAAGTCGCCGGAGCGCCGACTTTGTTTGCTGTAACCGATCAGCAATGTTCAGCGAGAAGTTCGCTCTGAGTGCTATTTTGTGCCATTGAAATAATGTATATTTCCACGGTCACGTTGATATCGTTTGGTTTAAGTGAAAGTTCATTTTAAATGAGGCCGTTATGGGTTATTTCTAAACACTATAGTACCACATATTTTAGCGAAGGCTGGCGGTCGTGAAACGCGCTCGCCACTGTACTGCAAGAAGGCGAGGGACCGCAGCTTGTGCGTCTGTCTTGGCTCCCGCATTTCGCACGCTAGACCTGTGCCACTTGCCTAGGCGTCTATTGCGTTTGTCACGTTATGGGAGTTGCGTATTTCCTAGAGTTTAGTTGGAAGGTCAATGGTGGTGTCAAAAGCAAAGACATTCTTACAAGTGTTTCTGGACTTGTAGTTTCTGTGCTTTGTGACTTTGCAAAAAGGTGACAAGTACGGGTTCTGTACCATGTGTGCTTATAATGTGAGGATTTCGCATTGCGGCAAGGCCGAGATAAAAGTCCACATCGCTTTACAGAAGCATCACATGCTGTGGAAGGGCAGGGCAACATCGGGAATTTTTCCAAAAAAGCTCCAAACAGTGCGATCCATGCAGAATGCCTGTATACTCATGGGATTTCTCAAGGAACACAACTTGCTGCTAAACGTGCGATCACGCAGGACCATTGTTTTGGAAAGTGTCCCTGAACTGCGAGAATGTGAAGCAGTACAGGTCTGGACGTATGAGAACTGTCGTCATCGGGGAAGTGGTTGCAAATGCTGGAGACACAAAACACCGTGATTTCGCAATCACAGTGTATGGAAGTATTAACAGCTGGTCGCTAATATCTGTCAAGCTTATGCACACCGAAAGCGGCACGGCAAAGCTGGATTTTCAAAGCGGCAAGGTGGCGAGTGCGTGCACCTGTTCAAACTGCGTGCCTCCTTTGGATCGCCGCATGGCCGAAAAGGAGGGCATCTCCCTCTTTTTCTCACGTGTCCTATCACATGGCAACACGTTTGCCAAAGGTACACCAGAGCCATCGCCACTCATCCGCCGCTTGGGGTTCTGATTGGCTGCGGCATAGCGACGAGCCTCGGTAGGCGGCGAAAAATTTCCCCCACCTCCCCGAAAAGAATCGTGAGGAAATGTGAATGCTTTGCGTAGCTTTGAAAACGGCGTTTCGCACCTGAAAACCGAGCGTTAGAAGAATAATGCTTTCTTTTTTTTTATTACACCGTGCAGCCAATAGTGCCGTCTGTTGCACGTGGCGTTTTTCTGTAGCAAGAAACGCGGTATGCGTTTTCAGCTCTAGTAGCTAGCGTGCACGGTTAAAAAAATTTTATGAAGTGGGCAAAACAAACGGCATTCTAGGCTCGGCGTTGGCATTTCAGAGGGGCGTCTAGAGCACACATTTCCGGATGTTTTTGAGAGGCGCTCAGCCAGCGACCGGTCAATAGTGAGGCACAAGCGGACAGGAAAATGGGGCATAGGGAGGAGAAAGAGCGAATGGTGAGAGAAGGAGCGGCCGAAGCACTGCACCTACCCTCTCCTACACTCTTGCACCACATGCTCTGGGTGCTAAGGGTGAGCGTAAGTGTGCACGCCCGTAGCTGTTGCCATGGGAGAGCGAGTGAGGGCAAAGAGAAAACACCTGCAGGCGCATTGACGCCCCGGACAATGTCAGATGCCAGAGTATTGGCATTAAAAAAATTGCTTCGAGAGCGATCGTCCTTGCTGCCTCGCTTTCAGTCTGCTTTCACCTCCTGGAGAGAAAGTTTTCCCCTTTTTTCTTTTTGCCACTTTGGCAACACTACCTTCAGTGTGGCAACCTTTACTTCCCAAAGTACCCTCCACTCCCCCACCCCTGTTGCAGTCTTTCGAATTTTCATGCTACTGGGTTGGCAGGTATGTTAATCTGAAAAATCGTTAATCTGAGGTTTCCTATAATGATACTTGACTGTATATCTGGTGCCACTACAATGGGCATGAAAGGGGAGTTGGCATAGAATTGGTACACTATCAAAGTGGAAGCTTGAGTGAGTGGAAATTAATGCAGTGGTTGTCCAGAACCAACTTTGACTGTATGTCTGCTCATTTGTGATTTGTGCAGTCTTAATTATCAAGTGCCGCAAATTGCCCTGGTGCCAGCCTCAGCATCACGATGCAGCTAAAGTGTTCATTAAATGCTTTATGGGTCACACGCGCGCCAGCACATAATAAGAGACATGTTCGTAAACACGGTTGAAACATAGAGTACTGTCATACATGAAAAAACAATATAAGAATGTGTAGGCCGATGTAAAATCTGAGCTTTAGGTTATGCCAGTCTTCACAACATGCAAGTTAATGCATTAGCGTGTAGTAGTGCCCAGGCAGAGCGTACTAATTAGTCACGCTGGGGTGGGGGCATGGCTAATTGAACATTTCGTCTCTTCTGCTGCAGCCATGGCCCATTGAACGGGGGGGCCGCCCCTGTTCCTCACCACCACCACCACCGACGACGACACTGCAACATTTTGGCGTATGTGTTTGCATGAGGTGGATTATTGATTTCCTGCTGAGCTACGAAAGACTACTGCATCAGAGTTGTCACACCTGTTGTGGTTCCTCTTTGGTGTAGCTACAGAGTCCTCATTCTGAGTCGAGGAGAGATGCTACTCGGAAGTGTCTCTTTGTTATGTTAAACATGAAGCATTTCTTAGCGAACTTCAGCGACTTTGTGCATGTCTGTCTGTCTGTTCTGTGTCTCCTGGCCGTTTCGATAATAGTATCGATACTAAAATTGGTATGGCATAATATGACTGTATGACGAGCACAAGTGACTAGTCATTACATGAAAATTATGAGAGGTATGTCATAAATGTCATGATTTACATTTCATGGTCTTGCTGCTCTTTTGGTGGTTTTGTTCACATGACATATTGTAGAACTGGTATGGTAGGACATGACTGGATGGCAAACACAAGTGACAGATACTAACGGGGAAATCATGACATGCATTTCGTGTAAGTCGTGACTATACTCCATGCTCATGGTGCGCTCGTCGTCGTTTCGCTAGCTTCACATATTACCAAATTGGTTATTACGGGACGTGAATGGATGACCAAAGTATGTGACTGGTGCAAATATGATTATAATGAGATGCGTGTCATGTAAGAACATGGCTACATGCTACGCTCATAGCACGCTCGCGGCAGTTTTACTAGCTCCACGTATACCACGTTTGGTATTACGTTGCGTGAATAGACGACGAAGGTAAATGACACGTCCAAACATGATAATCGCGACATGGAAGTCATGTGCGGCATAATTTATGTCTGCCTCGTAATGTGGTGCTAATTTGAAAGTGGCATATCAACCTTCCTCATTCGTGCTTGGCATATTATTGACTCCCACTCTACTTGGGATCCGTCAATTTTTCAAGCTATGTCTTTTAAAGTTTCTCCGTGAGTAGAGTTAGTGATGTTGATTTAAAAGCTGTGATTACTTTTTTTTTTGTAGGTGTTATAGTTTGTGAGTTCTAAGAAGATCGATAGGAAATTTCAGGCTTTTTGTGTGCCATTTTTTTTGCTCATCGAAAATTTAACCAGAGGAAGTGTCCCAACATGGCTCGTTTTGCAGCACAAATAGTAGGATGCCGAAAACTACTTTAAATAAGTTATGGCCATTGCTTTTTTTTAGCAAAAAAAAGCAAAGTATGAGATTTATATTTCACATTTGCCTTATCTACATCTTAAATTATGACATGAAAAAGTGTGTAATGCATATCAATATTTTATAAAGATATTGGCACTCCAGATGATATCCTGTACAAGGTTCATACATATGAAATGACTGCACAAACATTTGTGCACAACATGTGAAAATTAAAAAAAATGAAAATTGAGAAAAGTGCACTTGAGAGCTTTAGACACCTGTAATTTTCAATACACAAATGATTTGCATGAAACTTTGTGGAACCTCAGTGCACCCTTTTTTGTACAGCCAGTGCATTCTTTTGCAGAATGTTCCGTCCCAGTTCTGAAGAGCAGCACAGCTATAAATGATAAACCCGTGACGACTGTCTTGCAGGCAGGCATTTCTTTCATTGGCCTCTGGTCATGCAGGTGTCCTAGGGCAACACGTTTCACATGGCTGTACTAGACTGAGCGCTTGAAAAATGAGCTCAAAGCTTGAGTGTCTATTATTGAATGATGAGATAGCCATTCCATCTGAAGCTTTGATCGCAGTGGTGCAGGAAGGCTGATTTGCCTTGGGATGCAAAAACCTGATTTTGCTGTTGAGTGAGTCCACAGCATCTTGCATTGCTCCTTGCAAACTAAGGGCTTTTGATCTGTGTGGTGCTTGTATGTAGGATGTGCGGCAAACACCTGTTGGTACTCCCAAACAATTTTGGCTTGCCTGTGCTTACACAGGAAAATCATTCGTTCTGAACAGAATATTTGGCTCCCTGCGATATTCCTAGATATGATGAGTTAAAGTAGGATGCTCGCATGACAGGCGTGATGGTTATACAGTCGCCGACCGATTTTTCGGACTCCAAAAATTCGGACTTGTTGGATATTCCGGACTTCATAAATGCACCGTCAGGGATCCCATAGAGCTAATGCATTGTTTCGACCGATTTTTCGGGCGAATTTGCCCCTGAAAGTTCGATTTTTCGGACTAAATCGCTCGTTTTGTGCCACGCCCCAAGTCATTGTGAACGCCGCCATGTTGGATTTTCCGTCGGCTTGGCTAAGCTTGGTCTTCAAATGCCTTTCCTGCCTCCGAGATTGGAATGCGCACGCCATATTTTAAGTTTCGGAGGCCGTGTTTGCTTTTTAAAAGACGCGGTGATGGATGCCGTTTTTTCGTCTTCGGTCAGCGCTATCGTCATCACATCGCACGGGGAGGAGGCGAAAGAAGGATTTTTTTATTGTCATTGCAGCTTTTTTCAGTCGCCATTCTGCACGTGTTGTGTCGCGTAGCGTCGAGACGTTGTGTGCTTCGCAGCGGCTATCTGCGGCATTGAATTTTGTGTTCTCAGTGCCATGGCTCCGCTATCTGTGCCATCGCGGGAGCCAGGTGGTGTGAAGAAGCGTGAGAAGTATACGACCCTGACGATGGGGAAGAAAGCTGCCATAATCAAGCTAATAGAGAGTGGACGTTCGCAGCTAGATGTCGCTGGATGACGGTCGACGCCGGATGGCGGTCGTCGTTGTCGTCGGATGACAACGACGACCGCCCGCAGCCATCGGAGATCGCCAACGCGGTGACAATTTTGTCGAGCGTTTACAGCGACGATGTCACCTTGGCGCAAATACGGGCAAACCAAATTGCCTCCAAGCGTAGTTTGAGGCAAGGCAGCATCAAGGACTTTTTTAAACCTGCCTGATGCAATAAACTTCAGATTTTTGGCAAAAACGAATTTTTCGGACTGTTCGATTTTTCGTACTTTTTTTCGGTCCTCGCCAGGTCCGAAACATCGGTCGGCGACTGTAGATGTTTGTCACGTGGGTTGTGACTTACGGACGAGAAAGGATTTGTAAGAACGCTTTGGAGGTAAAGAGAACAAGTTTATAAAGCACGCTAGTGGAGATAGGAAAGCGCTAAACCCAAAAAACTATATGAACAGTGTAATAGCAAGCATGTGCAGTAGGCAGTCCTAAACTGTCCAGAGTTCAGCTACGTTCCTGTACGACCCTTTCGAGCGCGTAGTGTTTCTGTCTATTAAGGTTAGACAAGAAAACACCGCCTCACGGTTTGGAGCACTGTCCCCCTGTCGTGGTGTGTCAGTCGTTGTGCGGCAGCGCAGAAGTGGTTCAGAGGGTGCATGGTGTGGCAGATTGCCACACACAAATGTGCTACTGTGTGCAGCATCGTTGCATATCACTGGGCGGCCAACTTAGCACAGCGGGCCGCGACTCCCGAATGATCATCTAACAGTCCACGAAGGCAGCACCAGGCAAGCCTCGTCCACGAACCCGCTTCCGGCCGCAGCACCCAACGTAGGAGCCGCGCCGCAGGTCACATCCTTGCATATCGAAGTACGCTACCGGGGCTGGACCTTGGACAGACTCGACCTGGTCCCACGTTTGCCTCAGGAATGCTGGCCGACGCGCGTTCTCTTGAACCGTGCTCCAGTCAGTTTATTCAGTGCAAGTAAAAAGTTGATATAATACAGAAGGAGGTCCCAAAGTAAAAACTGTCTGGGGGACCTCCTGTGAATTCATGTATAAAAATATAGAACAAAGATTGGCAACTAAGGAAAAAACAGCAAGCGAATAAAACAAAATGAACGTAATGAAAATTATTATTGAAACTTATGGTAGTTCAAGATATTTACATGTAAGTGATAAAACAGGAGATAACTAATTGGATTAAATGACTATAACATAACACATGCATATCACTAACTAATACAGTGTTACTTCAGAACCTATACACGTACCCATAAATGCATATAACCGTATTAAAACACACACATATATATACATACATATATATTCACGTGTCGCATGTTTTTAGTAAAAACTGTTTTAGATGCCGCCAGAAACAAGAAGCCTTCAGGGCTTTCTTGTCTTCATGTCGCGAGCTTTTTTTATAAACTTTGTGTCGTACCTCGTCTCCTACTTCTTTTTTCGCACCCCGCGCCACCTGTCCTTCGCTCTTCAGCTTCTGTTTTGGCACGCCGCTTCAAGCTCTTTGTGCTTGCGCATCACCCGTAAAACATCAATTACGTGTCCTTTTGTCACAACGGGATACAATTACTGGACATTCCATGTGGGTGCTTATAGCAATTTCGTGGCAGCTTTGCCGCTCCTGTGTTGCATCATCTTTCAGCATGTCTCCACAAAAAGGGAGCAATGGCAGCTTACAAAGTGCATCCCTCAGTGCTTGGCCACATGGTTCTCGCTTTCCTCTCTACCACCAACTTCCCAATACACTGCCGTAGCAGCTGCTGTGGCTGAGGCCAGTGTGACATAGCCTTAATAAACTTGACATCTTACTAATTTTTAATCTGGATTTAGCCTCGGCATTGGAGAAGTAGAAGTTTAATTGCAAATTATAATTTTGCAATCAAAATGTCTAAAGTGTCAGTTTTCATAAAAAATGCCAGTTTTTGAAGCATCTTTAAATGGCCACTCACCAGGTTTGACAATTTTGAACTGACAAGTGCAATGCGTAGACGAGACGTTCATGATCACGTCTGCCAAAATTTGCAAGGCTACGCACCGCGGAAATGGGTCAAATTTCAAGATGAAAGCTGCTCGCCCTCCCCTCTACCTGCGCACGCGTAGAGAATGAGGGCATGACGTGGGCGTAGGAATGGCTCTACGTACACAGCACTGCGGTCACGTTGGTCCTCTACGTAGACGACTCTGCTCCAACGTTGTCAACAGTATACCACGTGACATGGCAAAAATGATTTAACACAACATGCGTAGTTTATGTATTTGCTGCTTTAAGAGATCAGTAAAACTTGAAATAAATAATGAGACGCAATAAAAATTTGTGCACGTTTTTCCAACATTTTTTTTTCCATGAAATGCTATGAGATGCGGGGCTAATGTGCCAGCGTTTCACATGCGTTCGGGTTCCCACGGTCAGCGCATTGAGCAGACGACCACCGTGGAACGCTCCTACGCGTTCGCGCACTCATTGTGCTCACCTACTCTACCGCGTCTAAGCCAGCGTTTCCAAACAATCCCGCAGAAACTGGCAGAAGACCACAAAATAACGCTGGTCAACAAAGCAACGCCGCTTGCGTGCATGGGGGCTGGGCTTGTTCGGGCACGTCATGCGAACGTCACCTCTTGGTCGGATGCCGGAGAGGGTGGGGAAGAGGTTTGGCTTGTGAAGGCTACGCGGAGGAGCGTCAAGGGTTTCGAACTCATCTCCTCTCACCCTCGTTTCGCGCTGCTTCAAAAAACCTGTTTTCTCCGCTCGTAATGAACCGATTCGAGAAATTTTTGTGGCAAAACGTTCCTCATCGAACACCCAACAACTTCCACTGTCTAACTAAAATTCGGTATGGGGCCTGGTGAGTGGCCCTTTAACTGAGTTCTAACTACCGAAAGTGATAAACTAACAACTATACATGAGGATGAAAACTTCCAAAACCATCGTCACTTATTGAAGACGAAGTCATGTTTTTGTTTTTGTTTCTGAAATGGCGATTACAATCGCTGCACGAGCTATTCTATAACATACGTGTGAAGTAAATTTCTGCAATGGGCACGCAGTCCTAAAGCCACCTATCCTGCTCTTTGGATTGGAAAAGGAAAAGAAAAAAAGTCTTTGCAAGACATTGGTCTGGGGTTTTTATCCTTTCATGAGGTACTTATGCCATATGGCACTGCCACACCTGCCATATTTCCTCCTCACCACTCAAGTCCTGGTGCTGGCTGCAGGCAAGGCGGTAGTTTGAGAGCACCTCAAAATCTGACTACTAACAAGTGTCCACAGGCAAAGCAGGGCCTATTCTATTGTGGCCTGTCTGTTGGCATGTTCCATCATACATGAGGGCAACATCAGCTCCACACACGTTCTCTTTTGCTGTAATCCTTGTGTTTGCAATATTTTATTGCCCAGCACCGACAGCTCCGGCATGGACTTTTTCACTGGTTGTAATAAAATCCTTGTGATGCATGAGTGTGGGCAGGCAAAGAATAGCATAAAAACGCCATAGCTGTTCATTTCCAGGGCCTATTGGAAGTGCGGCCACCACTACTTTCACATTCATGGCTTAGCTGCCGCTTCAGTGGCTCCAATCTCCACTGTCACCGATAGGATGACCTTCTTGCACCGTGAACGAACTATGGGCTGCTTAAAGCGCCGACTGTGGGCATTCGCTACTATCGCAGTTCAGCTCAAGGAATGTAGAGGCCCTTGCGTTGGCTTGCGATGGGTGGAGGATGAGTCCAGTACTGTCGCATGTTGGACAAATGCTTACTATTGTTGTCAGGGCACCGATGTCGCTGATTACTTCTTCTATAGAACCAGCACCGCTCCTTGTTTTCTTGTTTTCAAACTGTCCTATATCTTTTTTTCGAAAGTACGAATGAGCTTGATTGCGGCATTGATCTTGTCCAAGTTTCCACGAGCCTTGGTATCTTTGCTGCCTTGATTAGCCCTTGAAGCCAGTGGCTCACATTCTTCTATGGTTGCTTTTTGCTCTGGCCTGCGGCGACGCCCACGATACTGGACCTTGCTTTCAAATTTACGAGCTAAAGGTCACATTTCTTCAACTGATTCATTGCGGACTACGATAAACATAGAAATGCTCGGCAAACGCTGGTCATAGCAAATCTTCAAGTGCTCTTCCAGCGAGGCTTCAGCCAATGGCGGCATTGGTAGTGTACCACGTAACCAGTAAAACAACCGGAGCCGCCGCAACTTGACTGAAAAGCGTCTTAAAAACTGCTTTTCAATAAGTTATTTTCCGCTAACACTAAGCTGGGAAGGGGAAGGCCTGTCCAGTGGAAGGAGACTTGAATTACCTTACCGAATTGGCTGGGGTGTGTTCCAATACGCACCGCAGACGGCTGAATAGACAGCTAAGTGTACGGCGGCTATTAAGTCCCATTAGAAATTTAACATAGCCGTCAAATTAGACAGCATCAAGAAAGAAACGAACCAGGCTACTATGCTGTCCAAACAAGATGGTGGCTCAGTGAAGTTCTCTTATAGGTTGGATCTCACTGGTATGGCTGTCGGCGCACAATCAGACGCTTTTTCATGCTTTTGTTGTGAGCTACGTTTAATTTTTCATGGATTCAAAGGCGAAAGAAGCCGAAAAGGTAACAGTTACATCTGCTTTTTTAGCTTTTTCTTCTCGATGCAAGGTGTCATCATGTCGCTTAGACATCTTCTGTACGCTTTTCATTACTTCGACAATGTGATATGGATGCTGTCTGCTAAGCTGTCACTATAGACTGCCTACAATGCTGTCTAGAAGTGAAACACAGTCCTGCAATGGTGGCAGCATAGAGTTTTTAAGTTTAACTAGAGGAGACTCTGGCACTGTGATCGTTCACCAACCATGAGAATGATAGGCAGTACACAAATGTGCCTAGTCTTCATGCTTGTTAACTTCGAACACATTTGTGGCTTTTTATTGTTTGGGGTTTGGTTTTGTTTTAATGAGAGAACAAACTGTTGTGAGCTTTGTGACCCGATTTGAATTGGTGAGCCGGAAAGGTCAAGGTGGTGAAGCGCAACTGCTGATCGTTTGCTGATTGTTGTCTTCTGTCCGAACTGCTCCAGGCCACGTGAAGCCAAACGGAGCTGAAGGTACGAAGGTTAGACAAATCGGTGTACTACCCATCATTCCCAGTGCTTTGCATTGCAGCTCCCTTAAACACTAGTGCCAGAGTTCCCTCTAGTGGGTTGGGGATGTTGTGTTTCCAAGTGGTGGGTTCTCAAAAATTGCTGTTGTATGTGTGAATTTGTGATTTAGAGTTGCCTTGGCTCCAGTGGATTGATTTTTTCTCACTCATTTTTTGTTCGAATTCAGCCTTGATATTTCGGGAAATGAGAGTTAAATGACTAAAAATCATTTTACAAGCAATATCTCAAAAGTAAAAACTTTTTACAGAAAACTGGATTTTTTTACCCATATATCACCTTAGCCATACATTTTCCTGTTTAAATCTGTGGTACTGTACACACTGCATCAATGGAGTTGGGGAACCACCATCAGAGCTGGCCTATTAGTTGCACCCAACAGCCAAGAAATATCACTCAAGCTGAACTTGGGTTTGGCATCGTGCATTTTCATGAGGGAAAAGTACCGCTCAGAAGCAGAGTAATATTTAGTTGTAGATTGTTGCTGTGTAATCTCTTGTTTTTAGGGTTCGCCCAAGACCGACACCATCTGGACACCCAAGGCCGTCTATCCCTCATCCACCGAAGACCGACTTACTTCCCTCCTCTGGAAACTACAGCAGCAAAGCTCCTCCACGCAGGTGCTGTCCCAGGTGAGCTCCCTTCAAGGGCTGAACATTTCAGAACTGGTGCAATGCTAGGAACATGAAGATGAGGAGAGGAAAGAGACGGACAGGTGCCAAACTACCACCTGTTTATTGCCAGGGCAGGCTGAAAATTGGGTAAACTTCCACTCATGTGCAGTGGCATGGAAGAGTTACCACAGAAATGTCATCACTTGAGCAGTTGATTAAAAAAGGACCACTCAAATTGATAGACCACATTAGACGTGTCACTGACCCAAGCGGCCCCGCAGGGGCGCCTGCGCAAGTAGGCGTTTGGTGTGTAGCGACACCACGGACTCGAGCTAACGGGGGAGTTTTGACTCCCTCCCATGCCTAACCGTGCGTGTCTTTGCGTGTCCGGGGAGAAGGGAATCCTGAGGGTTGAGCTGACGCTGGGTGATTGGACCTTCAGTCCCCCCAGCAGAGGCAACATACCCCTTTGGCCCCGGCTTCACGTAGACAGCACCCCTGGGCTGACCCACCCAGGGGAAATCGGCAGTCGCCTCTTCCTGTCTCTGTCTCTCTCTCCATCTTCATCTTTTCTACTACTTTTGATCTTTTCTGTCCTCTCCTCACTTCTTTTTACTTCCACAATTCTCGGCGGCAAGGGTTAACCTGGTGTAGATATCCAACCTTGGGTAGATGTATTAGGTTATAGCGGCCATGTACGGCTGGCGCCTGTGTCTCCTTCGCGTCTCGCAGCGTCCCCTTGCTGGGCTCGGTGGTGGGTGGCTGGCATGGCCGCCGAATAAGCTACCAAATTTATGGGAACTCCTAGCTCTCTCACAACCAATCGCCCCTCCAAGAGGTGGCGCACCGATGCAATTTTCGAATTTCTTCCAAACAAGAAAGACAACGTCCCGAAATACCACATCATCCACTGTGAAAGTACAGAAAAGAAAGCTAGAAGCATTTCACCTTTCCTTGTGTCTAGATGCCTTATAGAAACACTAGGTGCAGGCTACAAAGCCACAAAGACCGCCAGTAGTGACCTGTTACTCGAAATAAAAGACCACTCACAGTACCAGAGACTGCATAAACTTACATCATTTGGGGATCAGTCTATCACAATCGCACCGCATCGAACCATGAACACCGTGAAGGGTGTTGTATCAGATGGAGACCTGATGGACCTCTCTGATGATGAACTTCTAACAGGCTGGAAAGAAGAAAATGTCATTCAGGTGCAGCGTATCAAAATAAAGAAATCCCAATGAAACACATCATTCTCACTTTCGCATCTAGCACTCTCCCCACTGAAATAGCAACAGGATATCTTAAACTGCCAGTCAGACCATACATACCCAACCAGCGGCGCTGCTTTAAGTGTCAGAAATTCGGGCACGGCTCCCAGAGCTGCCGAGGACAGCTTACCTGCGCGAATTGCGGCACCAAAGGTCATACCGCTGACGATGACTGTCAGCTACAAGTCCACTGCGCAAACTGTGAGGGTGACCATCCTGCATATTCTGGGTCATGCATGGCCTGGAAAAGGGAAAAAGAAATTAAATTATAATTACAAAGTTTAAATTGAACATAAGCTTCCGTGAAGCGCGGCAGCGCGTTTCCCCGCATTTTGCTGGGAACACATCGTATGCCGAAGTGGTGCGAGGGTGGTCAGCACCACTTTGGTTTTCGGCAATGCCTTGGACCATGCCCAGCGTGCCGAGGCAAATGCCACAAGCCCCCATGGGGGGAGCAGCCTCGGCTGCCCCACCCTCCTTGAATACAGCCCCACCGAAGGCCCCTGTGAACCCTGGCAGCAGCCAGTGCACCACACAAACTAAAGAGGTCCCGTCGACCTCGAGACCGGTGAGGTCGAAGGCTCCGTCTGTCACGACGAAGCCTACAACGAAAACGACATTGTCTGTCGTCTCTCCTGAGGCGATGGACACATCAACTGCACCGGCGCCAAAGGAGCAGCGGGGTTCCCTCAACCGCTCTAAAGAAGACAAAACGGTAATTACAGGGCCTTCTAAAGGCTCTGTAAGATAAGTCACTTCTCTCTTTAGACACCAGCCACACTCATTTCGTACACACAGCACTTCTTTACTCCCATAATGGAGACACAAATTATACAATGGTACGTCAGAGGACTACTTCGAAACCTTGACGATGTCCAAGAACTTCTACACAAACATTCTTCAAAAGTGCTGTGTGTACAGGAAACACACTTAAAATCCAAGAATACAAATTTTTTGCGTCAATATGTGGTCTTCCGAAAGGACAGAGATGATGCTGGGGCGTCATCTGGTGGTGTAGCCATTATTGTTAATCGAGGAGTAGCATGTAGTCATCTACCACTAGTAATATCCCTAGAGGCAGTGGCTGTTCGAGCAGTTCTACTGAATAAGCTCATCACCATCTGCCCTCTATACATACCGCCGCAACACCGCCTGGAAAAACATGATTTTCAGTCTTTAATAGATGAGTTACCAGAACCTTATCTGGTTCTAGGGGACCTGAATGCGCACAGCGGTTTATGGGGTGACTGTCGATGTGATGCACGAGGTCGTCTCATTGAACAGTTCCTCTTTTCATCAGGTGCTTGTCTGTTGAATAGGAAAAAGGCAACATATTATAACCTTGCAAACAAAACTTACTCCTCCATAGACCTCAGTATGGCATCTCCTTCACTTCTACCCCTACTCCAAAGGAAAATTGTAAATAACCCCTACGGAAGTGACCATTTTTCTTTAGTTTTGAGTACACCAATATTATATGAATGTCCTCCACATGTTCCCAAATGGCTGGTAAACAAAGCCGACTGGGAACAATTTCAAAAGATTACTCACTTAAGTTGGACCGACATATGCCGATTAGGCATAGATGAAGCTGTGCAGTACTTCACGGCTTTTCTTACTGACGCAGCAGCCAAGTGCATTCCACAAACATCTGGACTGCCCGGCAAACGACACGTCCTGTGGTGGAACACTGAGTGCCGGGAATGCGCGAAAGGAACAGAACAGGGCATCGAGGTTGCTGCGGAACTCGCTGACAGCGGAAAACCTTGAGAGCTTAAGAAAATAAAATCTCGAGGCAGAAGAACGCGTCGGCAGGCCAGAAGAGAAAGCTGGCACAAGTTTTTATCAAGGATAAATTCATATACACAAGAGGCTAAAGTCTGGAACATGGTTCGTAGGGTAGCAGGAAGACTAGTACACTCACTCCCACTCGTAAACACACAGGGTGACAGCCTGGAAGATCAGGCGAACTTTCTCGGTGCACACTACGAGCAAGTGTCTAGCTCGTCACACTATACTGAAGCTTTCCAAAGATATAAAGCAAAGATAGAAAAGCAGAAACTAGAATACAAGTGCACAAAACACAAGCCATACAACCAACCTTTCAACTTAGCTGAGCTACAAACACCACTAAACTCTTGCAGTAGTTCTGCCCCAGGCTACGACCGTGTCTCGTATGAAATTTTAAAAAACCTGCCGCTCAAAACGCGAAAAACTTTACTCTCTCTATACAATGCTATCTGGCTTTCTGGCACCATCCCTGCTTCCTGGAAAGAGGCTATTCTTATCCCTATATTGAAACAGGGCAAGGACCCTTCCTCAGTTTCAAGTTATAGGCCCATTGCACTAACCAGCTGCCTTTGTAAACTTTTTGAAAAAATTATAAACCGCCGACTTTTACATTTCCTCGAAACACACAATGTGCTCGACCGATTCCAGTGTGGATTTCGAGAGGGTAGATCTACCACCGACCATCTGGTGTGTATCGAGGCACAGATCCGAGACGCTTTTGTCCACAAACAATACTTCCTCTCAGTGTTTCTTGATATCGAGAAGGCTTGCGACACAACATGGTGTTTTGGCATATTAAGAGACTTGTCTCACCTGGGTGTGCACGGTGGAATGTTTTCCATAATCGAGAGTTACTTGTCCAATTGGAAATTCCGTGTCCGTGTGGGCAGTGTTCTCTCCCAAACATTTGTCCAAGAAACGGGAGTACCGCAAGGTGGTGTACTTAGTTGTACACTTTTTATTATCAAAATGAATTCCTCGCACCTGTCCATCCCCCGCAATATGTTCTATTGTACATATGTTGACAACGTTCAGCTTGGCTTCAAGTCATGCAACTTGGCAATATGTGAGCGGCAGGTTCAGCTGGGTTTAAACAAGGTCTCCAAATGGGCAGATGAAAACGGATTCGAGCTGAACCCACAAAAAAGCACGTGTGTCTGGTTCTCTCGAAAGAGAGGTGTGCACTCGGAACCTGACATTGGACTGAACGGGCAACGTCTGTTTGTAAAAGCTGAGCATAAATTCTTAGGCTTAATCTTGGACAACAAGTTGACCTTCGTACCACACATCAAGTATTTAAAAACAAAATGTTTAAAAGCCATGAATGTTATAAAAGTGTTGTCACGTACTACGTGGGGTAGTGATAGGCAATGTCTCATGAACATGTATAGAAGCCTCATTCGCACCCGCTTAGATTATGGGGCTGTTGTTTATCAGTCTGCGACTCAAAGTGCTTTGAAGATGCTGGATCCCGTGCGCCATTTGGGTATCCGCCTTTCTACGGGTGCTTTTCGCACCAGCCCTGTAAAAAGCCTTTACGTTGAGTCAAATGAATGGTCGCTTCATCTACAAAGAACTTACATGTCCTTTGTATTTTTTCTTAAGGTGAAAGCAGACAAGAAGCACCCCTCATACTCTACTATTAACGATTTGTCGAGCTTCATTCTGTTGCAAAACAGGCCTTCGATGAGGCAGCCCTTCTCAGTTCGCCTGAAGGGTCTAGCTGAAGAAACTGGAATGTCACTTGAACACAGTTTAATGGCTCCTGTAGCATACCCGCCACCGTGGCAGTGGCAGTGATGTGTCTTTCCTAGAAGTTACAAAACATGCACCTATTGCCCATATCCGAACATACTTCCTGGAACTTCAACACAAATACGCACGTCCCGAGTTCTTCACACATGCTTCTAAGTCTAACTCCTCTGTGTCCTACGCTGCTGTCGGCCCATCCTTTTCGGATGCTGGCCCTCTACATCCAGGCACATATCTTCACAGGGGAAGCTTACACGATACTTGTGGCGGCTAAACACATCAAACAACTACAAATACAAAAAGCAGTAATTTATACGGACTCCCTCAGTGTGGTTACGGCTTTGCACAATCTTAAAAAACGAAAAAACCCTGTCCTCGTCTCACTTTACTCCACTTTATGCACACTCTACACACTCAAACAACATGTAGTTGTGTGCTGGGTGCCAGGGCACCGTGAGATCCAAGGCAACAGGATGGCGGATCAGCTTGCTGCATCCGTCCACGAAAGCACTGCCACTACACCCATATCAATCCCGGCCCTTTATCTTAAGCCATTTCTCAAATGAAAGCTCAGGGACTACTGGCAGAGCAAGTGGGATAGACACACACAAAACAAACTACACGTTATTAAGCCACACCTTGGCCATTGGCCGCCAGTATCAAAATCACGTCACACAGAGGTAACACTAACGAGGCTCGGGATAGGACACACATACACGACACACTCACATCTTTTGTCCGGTGGCGATCTACCATTGTGTGACAGATGTGGTGAAGCACTAACAGTTCTTCACATTTAATCCAGTGCAAACAACTAGACACTCTGAGAAAACAACACTTTTCATTACTCTACCGACAACATATACCTTTACACCCTGCAATGTTCGTCGGTAGGGAACCACTGTTCACTCATAAATTGGTCCTAGCTTTTTTGGAAGATGTTCGCTTTTATCATGTCATATACCCGGGCAATGCGTAGCGTGACCTTTTAATAGAGGTTGCTGCTGCAGTGACTACATTTAACATTATTTGCTTCGCGGCCCTTGGACACAAGGGCGCTGATGAGGCACTTGTGCTAGTTCAAAATATTTTTACACGTTTTCATTATCAAAACCTTTGTCACTCTTTTTCACTATGCATATCACGCCACTGTCATGATTTTAATACTTATGTTTTTACCCACATTATCGCGAGGAATTTTAAGGCCCCTATACAGCTGCGCAACATATCATTGCCCACATCTCTACTCATTGAAGTGGCGCTCTTTGGCCATCCATTGGCTCTTGCGCCATAAAGCGCCACGCATCATCATCTGACCCAAGCGGACCCGTTACTTCTAATATGATACGCTTCTAGCACCTTCCTTGCTGTTTGTTCTCTGCTTTTGTTGATAATCCTAGTTTGCTCAAAACGTGGGACTGGGAGCATGACTTTGAGGTGAACCTGTAGCTTCACAGATGATGCTGTAGTTCTCCCGAACCTGCTTTCTGTAGAGGGGAGGCTAACAATTGCCAGTTTAAATGATGCATGCTTTGAACAGGGGTGCGGCAGCTTCACCAATTGAGCCAGTGTTATACAGTTTCTTATTTTTGTGCCAAACTGAGCCGCATCTGTTAAATTTGTTGAAATTGCAACCCACTGCAACAAAATGACCAGCCTGAAAATGTTCTCGGTTGCTCTGATTTGGGGAAAAATGGAGGTTTTTTTAGCCACCAGCAATTTGAGCATCATCATCATCATCCAACCTAGAAGCACCACCCTAACTTTAGCTCCCCTCTTCCTCTGCAAAAGAAAAGGACAGCACTTCTTGAGATTTGTACAGGACGCCTCTTTTGCCATAATAAGTCGGTGCCTTGCTGAGTTCTTAGTACTAGCTGTCGTGGCGGCGTTCAGCAAAGTTTGTTCCTCGGTTGTCCATGCATGCTCACACACTGTGTCATTAAGAGTATTCTCCGGCCCTCCTTTTTGCGCAAAAAGACCATGTGATCTTGTGTGACCAATATTTGCTAATTTTATTCAAGACTATGATAAACTGTGCATGACTGCAGTCGTAAAAAGATATTCATTTTTGTTCTGAGATTGAAGAGTCCGTGCTCTTTGATATGTTACTTGCTATTCAATCTTGTTATGACAGTGAAGAGGCCGTGCTCTCGAATGTCAGTTACTTGCTGTAAACCCTTTCAGATGCCGCTTACGACAAACTGTGTGCAAATCTGTCAAATCGATAGCAATATTTGAAGGAAGTTGGTAGTCTATTGCAACCAAAATAATATTTTAATAAGCTAATTCATATGTATTATAACAACTAGTTCTAATTAAGTTGTAATTGAATGACTACTCATCCTGAAAACATTAGTGCTCCGTATTGGCATAAATAGGATGAAATATAGTGCAAGTTCAATTTCGGTTATGTCATATCATGAGCAAGAAGAATTTAGACATTTCACATGGTTTGCAGAAAGTGACGCGTTTAATGACATGGTAGTGCCTTCAGCAAAGTGATCATATGGAGCAGCTCATTGCAAAATGAACCTAAATGAAGACAAATTTATCTTGCAGGAGGTTCAGTTCATTCAAAGCTCGATCAATGTCGCTCAATCTTAGCCCCTAGTCGATGTAAATAACGAAAACAAGTGGTGTACACAATTGTTTCAGCGGAGTGCCATTTCAACAAATGAATCTGAATGTGAAGGGCATGTGACAACCACAGAGGCTGGAATAAAGGTCCCCACCATTTGTATTACATGCAGTATTTTGCTGTTAAATGGTTTCTGCTCGAACGAAGCGTTGAACCCCTTGACACTAATGCATGAGATTATAAAAAAAAAAAAAAAAAAACACCCCACATTGCAAAAGTTGCATGTCTCGAGACTTTAATAAAGTTTGATCCACCGACCACAAAGTTTTATTTCAGCACTGTAGCACCCTTGGTCTACCAGTTAGCAAAGTAAAATGCACAGCACTAAAATGTTCACACAGGCATACAAAAAAGTACAAATATGTGACTCACACGAGCAAAAAAATGAATCACTAAGTTAATCCTTTTCTCCTCGATACAGAATAACCGCTTCTCCTATCTTCTTGAGCTGCACTTTATGCATGCTGGTGGTCGCTTTCAGAGCTTTAGATGATTCACAATTCTCTTGGCCCTTGCTTTTCGGTTTACCAGGGAAGTACGATTCCGTCACCACCCATGGGCTGGCAAATGGCGAAATTAATCTCTGGAGAACTTAGCCATTTGGCAAACAAGTTGAAGAAAAGCAGTGTTAAATAGAGGAAAACATTTCATTGCTCGTGGCTCCCGTCATGCGAGGTGCTTTGCTTAAATCGTGCTGTAAATGGTGTGATAACGTTGAGTCTTGAACACACACAGGTATATGCCTGTTCACCCTTGTTGCAGTGGGTGAATGGTTATTCTCTCTTGTGCAGCCTCGAAGATCGTCTTTGCCGCCCAATGTGCACACGCTGGAAGAACTCGAACGTGACATGCTGCATTCCGGTGGTAGCCCTCCAGTGCCGATTGGGGTGAGTGCTTGCACATTACGATTGCTTTAACTGGTTGTCATACGGTTGCATCTCTCTTCAACCTTTATGACGACCAAGGTAGGGCCACGTGCTTGGCATTTTTCCTGGGAGTGAGTAGTGAGCCCAATGTATTACGTTAATGCTTTAATGTCAGCGCATAGGAATACATTGAAATATTGTTATAACGAACCTCAGATTAATGATTTTTTCAGATTAAGAAATGTTATAAAAATTTCTCTCCCAGCGTCCATTGATTCAATGTAAAAGTATTTCATTACTACGGATTTCAGAGCAACGAATGTTTCAAAATAACGAATAAAAATTTGATCACCTGGCAATCCTAATAGCACTTCAAAATAACAAATTACTTGCAACAATCTATCGTATATACTCGTATAATCTTTGCTCTTTCTTTGCGCAAAACTGATGAAATGTTGAAGCGGTGCAATAATTACGCGGAGAAAATTTTTCGCGAAAACGTGCAGAGAGAAGAAGGAAACTAAATGGTCGCAAATCGGGATTCTCAAGCCAGCAACTACAAACTTTCAAGTACTGATCAAGACTTACCTTAACAATAAAACCATAGGTTCAACGCAAAGCTCTTTGTTTGCAGATGCTATAGCCACTGTCCTCACTGGAGTACATAGAAGAGAAAGCACTCAGCTCCTTCTCGCCGCGACCCAAGCTTTTTCTTTGTTATATGGACGATTGTTTTTGCGTTATGAAGATGTCTGAAGTTGAAAACTTCAGACAGCACCTAAATTTCGTGCACCCAGCCATACAATTGACGACCGAGTGTGAAAGTGACCACTGCCTGCCCTTTCTCGATGTCCAGGTGGCAAGAAAGCACAACGGGCTAAAGTTCTCTGTTCACAGAAAGCCAACGCACACTGGCCACTACCTTCAATTTGATTCTTCCCACCCCGCCTGCCACAAGGCCTCAGTTGTGACCACGCTACTTCAGAGAGCTAAGAACTTATGCTCTAAAGACACATAGCAAAAGAAAGAAGAGGCCCGCGTAATTTCGGACCTCAGAAAAAACGGACACCTAAAGTACTTCATTCAAGCCGCCATCTGCCATGCAGAGCAACAGAGGATACAAAAACCCCAATCAACCTTAATTGGCAGCCTCCTGAAACGCGTACCGGTTTCGTACGTTCAGGGAACTAGCGAGACGGGGCGGATATTCAAGAAAGAAGGGGTTCGCACCGCGCACGTGCCTTCGTGTTTTCTGGGCCACCTCCTCCCCCGCCCGAAAGACTGGCCAACAATGGACAGGACACCCGGTGTCGTTTACAAAGTTGCATGCGCTGAATGCCCTTCTTCGTATATCGGCGAAATGAAAAACCTACCGGAACGACTGAAGCAACACGCCAACGTTGTGCGAAAGCTCTACAAAGAGCGCAGCGCACTCGCTGGACATGCTTAGACGTGGGATCACCGGATAAATTTCGAAGCAACGGCCATCCTTGAAAGCGAGCCGAACTGGAGGAGAAGGTCACTGCTTGAGTCGTGGCACATGCAGAGGACAGCCCATTACATCAACCACTCTCTCGGAGCCCTTCCCCCAGTTTATACACATGGACTGCGCTCGACGGCAAAACGAGAGAGAGAGCTAGGGGGGGGGGGGATCATTATCTGCCCCGCGAGTGCTTTGAGGACGCCGCTGCTACGTAGTTCTGCAGTCACCCCTGAGGAAGGAACCAAATTGGTTTCGAAACGTCGGGTTTCTTCAGAACTTTTGGTTGGAGTCTAAATCATCTCCCAGTTTCATACCCAACCAGGCAGACTTATGTCAAATGTTTACATTCAAGCTCTATAGATAATCGTGACGGTACCTTGGGTGTATTGTCCGGCAAGCTTATGATACAATGTATGCTTGCTTGTTATATTTCACTGTGCCACGTAGAATCACTCTAGCCGTATTGTCTGGAGCAGTGACATAGGAGCCTACTTTCTTCTACCAAGCAGGATCCCTGACAGCTTCCTGTAGGCTCGTGCTGTGTAGAAATTGGGACTGGGCTTTGTGCTCTGTTCACCCAAACCATGCTCGTGGCAGTTGTTTTGATGTGGATATGTAGAGCGTTCCCAGTTTCGTTGAGGGGCCAAACTATAATTTTGTGATTGTTGACTGGCATTTATGGCAAAATCATGTGACAGCACGGCCAATGCTGCCGAGCTGGTTTGTTGCGATGCATTGACCTATGTAGCCCTCTCTACTACATGCTTGTTGAACCCACTGTTACAGTGTATCTCTATTATTCTGCACTGAGAAGTATCATTGGGTTGCAGTTCTGTAGGCAATGTGTGGACTTTTCTTGCAGAGAGGCAGGGGCTGGGTGGCGGGCCATGCTGAACACGAGGTGGCCGGATACCCATGTAGGAGCACTCCTCCCGGTCACCGGGGATCATCGGCTGAGCATGGCACTGGAGGAGGAACACTGCCTGCTGCCGCTTTCAGTGCCCAGCAGTACCGTTTCAACCCAGTAGGTCCATTCCTTAAGATCTCTCAACTTTTTTTTGTTATGACAAGGAAAGACCCAAACACAATTGGCTTGTGTGATCTACTCGGCGGAATTCGCAAAATTGCCTTATAACAGGCAATTGGAAATCACTTGGAGAGGCCTTAGTCTTATAATAGATGAGTTGACCTGTGATGCTTAGGGGCATTCAGTAGAAGTAGGCTCTTGGTAAATGGAAATCTGTTTAATGCAATTGCTGCCTAAATAGAACAAATTTCTATGCTATGATTGGTTTAGTAGTGTTGTTCTGCACTTTTTTTTTTCATCTCTCAATAAAAAAAAGCTCCTTCTTAGTGGAACATATTTCCTGGGTCTCTTCAAATCCTGTTTAACGAGCGTCTACTGTATATAAAAGTAGTTGCATTTTGCAGTAAGCATATGGCAGTGACTCGTGTTACTTCAGTTGCTTTTATTTTGATGTTCGGATCCATTTAGTCTTGATCAAAGATCAGTGCACTCTGCAATTTTAAATGACTGAACTTCTGTTATAGGATCACATAGAGTTTCATACAATAATACCTAGAGGAGAATTGGGAGCTAGTGTCTACGTGGGCTCCTTCAGCAGCGCGTGTACCCCCATGGGAATGATTAAGGCCCCTAGCTTTTCGCGATTCTGCGAAAAATCATGGAATTTACGTTTTTTCGCGGAAGTATGAAAAACAGGTCGATTCTGCAAAAAGTCACGGAATTACGTTTTTTTCTTCGCAGGAATGCGAAAAGTCGTTAGTTTGTTTGCAATGCCAGCTAAAAAATTGCTAAAAAAAAAGCTAAAAAATAAAAAATTGACATCGCTGTAGCGTGTGAAATAACTTGTTTTTGGTATGAGCTTTGAATATAAAATGGGCGAGGCACTTCTTTGAGAACAGATATGACTAGTCTAGCGCGAAACGGGCTGTGTGACGAACTTGCAACCATGCTCGCAACCACCCTCCTTGCTCACAACGCGCTGACGCGAAGGCGGTTCCGGTTTCGTACTTGATGGAAATGCGGAGGCAATCTCTTTGTACTCTTTTTTTTTTCCACAAAAGAAAAAAATTCGCATTAGATGTCGGCGAATCAATGCGCTCGTATACTTTATCAGTTAATAGAAAAATTATTCATGTTGCTTTATCGTCTTTTAGTAGTAGGAAAAATTTAAGCCGTCACTGATAACAAGGCTTAACGGTAGCCGTAAGTAGCCGTATTCACTTATCGATCCAACGTACTCGCTTTCGCGTCTGCACGTGTGCCATGTGCCTTGTTCTTGTTTGCTTTGGTCGTTCTAGCCACCCTAGCTTTGTTTGAAGATCGATGCGTGAATAGACATGGCGCCTTCAGGGTCACATTTAAGTAAAAAGACTGCCAGGGAACGCGCTCGAGAATACAAGCACGTGGAGTTTTACGAAGATGGAGGTGTGCTTTTTTGCCGGGCTTGCACAAGAGCAGTTGACCATCGCCGCAAATCAACTATTGACGAGCACATGGAAAGCAATCCTCATCGCAAGAATGTCGGAACAAGGGACTCCTCTAAGCGAAAAAAGCGGCGAAGAACCATCGGAAGATGGAGCCGGAGGTTCAGGAGTGCCGAGGAAGCAAAGTAGACTGTAAATGCTGGTATCCGCAATCACGGCTAGTGAAGTGAGGAACCATGTTGTGCTCAAGTTCTTGGATGCATTGATATCCGCAAATATTTCTCTTGAGAAGGTGGACAATCCGAAACTGAGAACGTTTCTGTAGACACACGTTCGGAATGGCGGATCGGTGCCTGGATCTGATGCGCTCCGCCGACGACTTCCAGAATTGTTCGAGAAGCGTGAGGCAAATTTGATAGCTATGTTTCAAGGCACCACAGTTTCTGTAATTATAGACGAAACCACCGACCACCGATCAAAATCGGTTGTGAACGTGTTGTTCGTTTTGTCGGCCAGAACGCTGAATGCTGCACTACAACCTGTACTCGTGGAAGTGAAATTCGTGCATGAAGTGAACGCATTTGTCATTGTACGCATCGTGATAAGAACACTCACGAGGTATGGAGTTGAATTTGAGGATGTATCGGGCTTTGTTAGCGATAACGCCACTTAAATGGTGAAGTCCTTTAAGGAGTACATAAAGCCACTTTATGAAGGTGCTGTTCACATTACGTGTGTAGCGCATACAGTGAACATTGTTGGCAGCACACTGCAGGCATCTTTTCCCTTAGTGAACAAGTTTGTCGCTTGTACAGTCGAGCCCGACTATATCGAACCCGTTTATATCAAATTATCCCGTATATCGAACAATTCCTAAACACGGTAAGTTTACATTGAGAATATATAGCAAAAGTTACTGTATTATCGAACGAAAATAGCAACGACAACTGATATATCAAACTCCATGTGCCTCAAAAGTGCCCCAGCAAGTTGGCTGTCCCTCGCGGGGGCGGGGAAAACTGCTGGAGCCACTCTAGAAAAAGTTGGTTAGACCCAGTTGTGCGCGGGCGAACACCCCCCTCCAAGAAATGATCCTGGCCCGCTCGCAGCGCTTACAGCCAATCAGAGGCCGTCGTGCTTTCTCCGAGGCGCGGAGGCGGTAGAAGTGAGCACCATTTTTTCTTTCTTTATGCTTGTGTGCCTGCTGCTGCCGATTCAGCATGGTCTGTGGTGTTCCCTGTTGGTGCTCTGTGAACTGTATTGGCGCGCTGTCATCATGGCTTGTGCAAAGAGGCAAAATTTGCCGTTCACCGCGAAACTCGAAATTATCAAACGGGTTGAGCGCGGTGAAAAGAAGTCAGACGCCGCCGCCGCGTACAAAATTCCAAGGAGCACCTTGAGTTACTATCCTGAAGAACAAGGCAGACGTCAGGGCCAAGTCCGACAAAAGGCCAGGTGCCTGTGGCGCCCGACGTGTGCGCCCTGCTGTGTACGAAGATGTTGAAGCGGCCTTTTACGAGTGGTTTGTGGACGTTTGGTCGAAAAACATCCCGTTGTCCGGCCCTATGATCGAGCAGAAAGCCAAGGACCTTGCTTTTCTGCTTGGCAGGAATGATTTCCAAGGCGGTTCAGGCTGGCTTCAGCGGTTCAAAAAACAGCACGACATCGTTGGCAAAGCTGTTACAGGTGAAAGCAGAGCGGCGGACCTGGACAGCGTAGAAAAATGGCTCGAGGAAAACTGGCGAGATATCGCAGCAAGATATAGAGCCCAAGATATCTTCAATGCGGATGAAACCGCTCTATTTTGGGAAATGTTGCCAAACAAGACACTTGCGTGTCGTGGCGACAAGACAAGCAGCGGCAAGGCAAACAAAGCTCTTGTGTCTGTGTTGTTGGCAGCTAATTTAGACGGATTGAAAAAGCTTCGACCTCTGGTTATCGGGAAAAGCACGGCACTGCGGTGTTTTCGAAATCACTTGGAATCACCTGGGAGTTTTTCAGCAGATGGCTATCGTCGTGGAATGATGATTTGGTAGACGAAAATCGCAAGGTGTGCCTGCTCGTGCACAATTGTTCATCGCACCACGGCGGTACGACCTTCAGCAACATCGAGCTGCGTTTTTTGCCCCCGAACACTACGTTTGTACTGCAACCACTGGATCAAGGCATTATACGCGCAATGAAAGCCGGCTATCGGAAGCGCCTGGTGGAGAGGCTGCTGTAGAACCTTCGTGTCAGCAGGGAGCTTAAGATCGACTTGCTCGGAGCTATTTCTATGTTGAGTAGATCGTGGGCAGATGTCAAGAAGGAGGCGATCCAGAACTGCTTTAGGCATGCCGGCTTTCGCATGCCTGGTGATGACACCCCAAATTCTGACAACACTGAAGACACCGCAGGTGTTTCCGCCGAAGTTTGGAACGAGCTGGCAGAGTTCCCGGGTGCTATCGACGGATCGACATTCGACGAGTTCGTCAGTGCGGACGATGATGTCCTCATCATGGGCCAATTACAGGATAAGGATTACATTGCAGACGTCGTGCTGACCACGAGCCAAAGCAACAGCAATATGGAAATCGACGACAGCCCATTGCCTACATACTCCGAAGTGATTTGTGCACTTGCGTTCGTCCGGCGCTATTGCTTGAATGTGGAAGGTTGCTGCCTCAGCTGCTCCGACTCATTGGACAACGTGGAGGCGTGCGTGTTGTCGCAGGCAGCGAAGTCATTGACACAGAAAACAATCCGAGACTATTTTGATCCACAGTAAGGCACGCAAGTAAGCCACCATATTAATAAAGTACTTTTCTTCAAGATTGTTATGTGCTTTTGTGTCAAAACCTACATTGGGTCTATATCGAATTATGCCATATATCGAACTAATAAACGTTTTTTGGTGAGTTCGATATACCCCGGTTCGACTGTATGAAGAAGGCCTTCCGCCTGTCGAGTAGAAAGAGAGCTTTCTACAAATCGCATCTGGAAGAGTGCGGAGTTCAGTGTGCCAAAGCACCGCCAGCACCTGTCCAAAGAAAGTGGAATTCATGGATTGAGGTTTTGGAACAACATTCCGCCTACTTCGAGCACTATCCTTCATTGCTTCAGCAAGTCCACCAGAAGTATGGTGAAGCAGCGTGTGTTGATTCTCTTCTGAAACTGCTTAGTGAAAATTCGACTGAGCTCAGGTACAGCATGCGGTGCATTGCGGTATTTGGGAAAAAAGTTTCCAGTTTGCTGAAAGCAGCAGAAGGTCAGTGCGTAGCCTGCCACAAAGCCTACAATGCATTGTTTACGCTTTGGGGGTACCTTGAAGCAGCTTCAAAGGAGGATTTTGCAACACAGCTGAAGAGAGAAAATGTTGCGCATATTGAGGCCAATCAAATTGAAAGCAAGATAAAGGCTGCAATGACCAAAGCGGCTAACAAAGAACAGGTATATTTGGAGAAGTCCAATATGTGGCAATTCTTTAAGGATGTTAGGTGCTTGGATCCTCTGCAAGTTTGGTGTCTTCCACAAAAGAGGACAGAGTTGACAGGCATGCTTCAGCTTGCAAAAAATCACTTGCTCTAGCTGCCGAATGGCAGATTTACCTGAAGACTGCACAAGAACTGAAGACCAGTGACAGGGACCTGGCTCCATTTGTGTCCAAGCAACAAAGTCCAGGAGCAGACTTCAATATGCTGGCTTCCTGGGCAGGGATGGAGCAGCTTACTCCAACCCTTTCATCAATCGCCTTGAAATACTTGTTGATACCAATCAATTCTGTTGATGCAGAGAGATCATTTAGTCGCTATGGTGACATTGTTTCCCACAAGCGTAACTCTCTTAGTGAAGAGAGCACCAAGCACCATCTGATGCTGTGCCACAACAGCTTTCTCCAATTTTAATTATTGCGGGCATGTTGCGAGCCTGAAAGTGTGATAAATAAGTTGTTACGTGTGCCTTCTTGCATTTGTTTATTATTGCCACAGAATTTTGCATGTTTAGAGTTGCTGCGGAATTTCGCAGATTTCTCTATCTGGAATTTCAGAATTCCAAATTTTCCACAGCATAAAGTTAGGGGCCCTTGGAATGATGGGAAGTACAGGCTTCGGATCTGCTTTGGATGTATTGCGTTCTTGAGATTTGCGACGCTTGTTTGCCGAATGTTGAACAAAGTGATATGAAGTTATATTTAATTGAAAATTGCTTCACTCTTTTGTATGTAAATCTTGTTGCTAAATATTTCCGTGACCACGAGACAAGTGAAACCTGGACAAATGTAGCTACCAGGGTATGCATTGTTCTGCCATTGCGTTTCAGATTTAGCACTAAGATATAATGAATTATTTTTTACAACACTTGAGAACAAACGAACTTGTCTTGCCCTCAAAAATATGCATTACCTATTTATGGAAATAACAGTACAGTATTAAGTGACACACACTCAACGTTTTGTCTGCTACGATGCCAGGTGCGTCTGTCCGAGTGGTCGGCCGGGACGCTGCCCCAAGCGTACTTCTCGTTTTGTCGTGAAGTGAAGTCAAAGGAGCGTGATGGTGCGTCTACTTTGTTTCATTGTCATTTTGCAGTCGTTTCGACTGGGTTTAGGCAAGATGCGCTCTTGAAAAAACATGAACTCAATGGAATATCCTGCACTGGCATGAGACGCTACATCTATGCGCCGTGGTGAGTGGACGACGCTTCATTTAAATTGTCAAATACGACTCGTAAAGCTCCAACGTCGCAGAAAATCAAGACACCTAGTGGTCTTCAACCTCTTTGAACAACAAAGGTACTGCTACAGCATTTCTCACCGCACCCCACTACCCGCTGCGCGAAAAACAAAACTGAAACTGTAGAAAAAAGATCTGTAGGCAGTTCGCTAGCTAACACTATCCAATATGAAGCCTGTACTTCTCATAATTTTCACGGGGGTACACCCTCACAGCGCCAGATTCCTCTCTTGATATTATTGTATGAAACTTTATGTACGACCCTAATATCGCTCTTGGCTGGATAAGTCAAGCTTGGCTGGCTATGTTAGGTCCACCCAACTGCAATGGTGGCTGGAGGAATGGTTCCCTTCGCAGCAGCATCGAAGTTGCCTGAGCTTATAGAGCAGTACAAGCATCAGGGGGCACGCTCTATACCTATTCGGAATCGCCTTTTGTCAATCTGTCCAGGAACAGAACAACGCTGAACTCGATTCAGGGGTGGAAGGGCTGCGCCAATTGCTCCACGCTGCGCCATTTTGACCTTCTGCGCCAAGCCGCTCCTAAACGGCAATTTCCATGCGCAACACCAAATTCAGTCGAGAGTTTTATCATCAACCTAGCGACACGCATGGGCTGCACAACGGACGCCACCGCGTTCAAATAAATTTTCCCGTCCATATCAAACGTCGTATTTTGGATCATGCATGAATCTTGCGCCACGTCGACACAGTTCATGATTCTTGTTAAGGTGGTGTTTGTGTGCATACCTCAATATGCGACTACATATATGTTTCAACAGGAAAGCTGTTAGGCAAACTATAAAGACTGCGATGGTGTAACAAAAAATCACCGCACCGTTGACTGCTGAGTAACCAACGAGCACGTACTGTGCTTGGCAATGGTGTGGTGAGTGCTTTGCCATATAAAAAAATAAAAAATAAATAAAGATCAGTGTCACTGGCGAAGATGACCGCAACAGCAACAATTTGTAATTTTGTTATGGTAATGTCGCACCGCTACTTTCTTTCTATTTCTGCTACCGCACCATTACATGTGTAACGCTGCCTTGTGTAAACCGTGCCCGAATGACTGGGGACCATTTAGATAATCTTAGAACCTTTTGATATATTTTTTCTAAATCCAAGCCTTCTTTTTATACTACTCCAAATTTGGTATTTATGATTAAAAAATGCTTGTTTTTCTCTGTAACCTGCTGCAAATTTACAATTTAGTATTTCAAAAGTAACATTTTGCTGCTTCAAAAATTACTCCAAATTGTACTTTGGCTGTTGCACCACAGCTGATTGTGGCCGAGACACAAAACACGTGCGCCATGAGGTGCAAATGACTTTACAGGGAACGTTAGCACCCCTACAAAATTTAATGCATTTACAGACAGTGCCTCATAGTTAGAATATGAAAGCATTCATCAGGTGTGATTGCAAGCTTGCTGCCGTGTTACCTTTATTTTGAAATTTTTTTGAAGTGCACGAATCATGAAGAATATGGTGTTGGCAGGAGGGGCTTGTCACAGTGTATTTCATGGATTTCCAGTGCTGTTTTATGTTGACTATGACAACATGCCACTTCTGGTGCGACTGAAAGTGCACTTTCATGTTATAATTTTTTTTGTTTAGCTAATAGCATCAAGAAGTGTCATGTGTTGTCAGTGTTCCATAAAATTGCATGTTGTGATTTCTTTTTCTACATTTTTTAATATAGGTCCAGCTTCCCCCTTTTTTTTCCTTAACAGCTCTATTTCAGTGAATTGTTTCGCACTGTGTCTGATTATGTCACTTGAATATTCCGAAGGAAAAATTTTTATCATGCGAAAGGCAAGCAACATTTTGGTAATGTTTAAGGGAGCGCTGACATCAAATTTACTCATGTCAAGATCTAAGCATCGAGTAGCTATCGACCCCCTAGTAGCGTTTCGTGACATATAACGCAACTGAAGGATGAATAAATATCACTTTTATTGATTTATATCTCTGGTATCTAGCACAGTTCAAAATGGCCGGCAATCCTGGCATTTTTAGTACTGGAAACACTGCCAGTGGTACTACCTCGCTGTCGCCTCCGAATCGCGCGACAGCTGACCACTTCTCCACAGAAAAGAGCGATGTCAGGCTCAACTGATTCGCAAACATTTCATCTGCTAGGTACACACATTCAGTCATGCCTTGTCACCTGCATAGCCGTCATATCTGTACAAAGTGTCGACAACAATTGAATACGACAGTCTGTAGCTTGGAATCGCTGTGATTTGCCATGTCGTGAATTATTTTTGCTTTGATTGACCCTTTGCAGAACAACGATTCCAAAATGAACGCCGTTCCGAGCAGCAATGTGGATGCATGTGGTGCCTGAGGATGCACGCTTCGGCCTTGCTCGCTCGTGCGTCTAAATAGCTATATCGGTATTTTGGCGTGCACAGTATTCAGGTGTACACAAAAGAGTCAATGGAATATCGGTATAGGAAATGCACATCAGCGGGTAAATAGAATACGTTCCCTGCTTGCCAGGTTCTTCGTTCTTCTTTGCGTCTCCAAATGGCCCCATCTATCTGGCCTCTCTCAATGGCAGGGGCAGGCGCCCGGTATTATGCGCACGTAAAGAAGTATGTGGATGAATTGAAATTCACTATAAACAATGCCTGCGTGTTACTTGTTAGCGATACCTGTTAGTATGCTTCTACACTTAATTAGTTTGTGGTTGTGTTGGCATGTAACAAACGTGTAATGAAAAGATACCCTCATTGCGCTTTTTCTGCGCTTGGAATCAGACAACTGGAACTCACAACAGTTTCCCGACATGCCGACTGACGAAAGCGCATTGAATCGTGCTCTTTTCTTTCGCCGATCTTTCATGGGTGGTTTGAATTTTGACAACTTTATGAAATCGTTCAAAGTGGTGCGACGAAGATCAGACATGACGAGTGAGTGCGTTTCTAGGTTTTGGCGGCATTTGGTGCAACGATAAGCACACTTGGATCATAGACGTCATCGCTACTAGAGCATCATCACTCAGGATGGTATGCTTGAAATGTATCACATCGAACACGTAGCACTTGTGTCGATGTTGCAGGGACATTCTATTTTCTGTTAAGCTCCTGTACGCTGTTTGCCATCAGAATGGAATCGCTTGCACACAACAGACGCGATTTAAATTTGGCCTATAGTATCTACACACACCGAGCAATCGAATGAAGGGCTCATCTCGATTTTAAAATTTGATGTCGTTGCTCCTTTAACTTTGCCATAGGTATTTGACAACTGATCTTGTTGACGTACTATCTGGAACAGCTGTTTGTCCTGAAAGAAGGAAAAATTTCTTCAAGAGCTCTGTTCTGTTCCAGGGCCGGCCAGCGTACCCACCACCACCACCAACCAGTGGTGTGCCAGCAAAGCCCAGCCAGCTGGATATGTCCCCCCCTGCCAGGACACCCGGGCTTGTCCATGGCTGCATGTCACCGGGTAATTACTCGCCTAGCTTCGGTACGTCCTGGCACTTTTGTTGTGCAGTTGCCTCTCGTTGATACGAAGTTCAAAGAAGAACTTCGAAATAAACAAACATATAAAGAAAAATGGGCATATTTATCATGACGTAACTAACTTGCACAATATTTTTTTAAAACTGAAATAAGGCCTCTATGCAAATGCCTTTTTTTTTTTTCGTTCATAGGAAGTCTAAACAACTTTGAGTAGTAGCAGGATTTGACTTTCAATAAGATTCGAGTGATAACCTCTAAAATATGTAACATTTTAAAATTTATTATACCTAGAGCATATAAGCCGTACTAACAAGCTGTTAAGCTTACAAAATGATGAATCAATTTGAGTGTAATATGTTCATTTAATCGGGCCCTGCAACCCTTGTTCAAGTAGCCATGTAATAGATTCACTAAAGAAGCTTATTGCCTCACGAATTCACTGCCGTAAAAACTTTTAGAATTCGTCCAGTACTAGTGGAGCTCCAAAGATTTGTAGCATGCTCCAATTGCATTCTCTCTTCTCGTCCTGACGAAATTGCTGAAAGCTAAGCAGGGAGGGGTGGCACCGGGAAGGAAAATGTCACGCAAGCCTCGTGACCTTGAGTACTTTTTTTTCTCTCTCTCTTTTCTTCGTATACATGGCTTTTCAGTGCGATCGCGCACGTACGCGTGGACAAGTGGCGCTTTCCTGCGGCTGCCCCAATAACGACCGAGCAACCCATGCTCAAATCAGCCAATGGCTGATACGAGTGATTTGTGAGCTTGTGGCGTCATTTGCCGATAGGAGAGAGTGATTTTCAGCTGGCTTTGAAAATTTCTTGTGAATTGCAGGCCGCGTGCTGTACTTTAAAATATGGCTCCCGTGTGCTGCGTAGCCTCGACCACCGATGGGCAGCGTTTTCGGACCATACTCAAAAAAGTGTTGCAAGGCCCTTTTTTAATCATTTGGGCCCTGGCATCCTCAGACAAGGACAGGACCAAAAAAGGTGTTTCTGATGCCTTTAAAGGAAAGAGAAACTTAAACCTAACTTGTATAACCTGCAAAGCATCCCAAATGGCATCGGCATCACTTCTCGCACTATCGCGTTCGTCAGAGCAGCAACGGCGAACAACAAAAATGGAAGACAACGAGGTAGGCGCTGGGCCAAGTAAGTGTGCATTTTTATATATTTTTACTCGCAAGCGGCTGTTGATGTTGCAATAAAAATTTAACAGAATGTTTTTAGCTCTACATAGAAGATATAATCACTGCAGACATTCTCAGGGAATGCGTATTTCAGTGATCGCATGCATAAGAGCATCTGTCCTCATTTGAGTACGCGAGGGCTCGGTGGTTGCCGTGTTTCACTGGTGATGGTGTGGCGTCTCGTGGCCGTACAGCTGTTTTTGTCTATTTTTCAGGTGCTGGGATGAAACCTCAGTTCTTCTACTGGGTGACGAGAGACCATAGGCCCCGATTAGTGCCGCTGGAAGACGCGGATCAAATGTTCGCTCAGTTGGACAATGGCAACCTATCAGACGTCGGGGGATACAGAAGATGAGGAAGATGATGACTTCATTTTTGAAGAGGCTGGGAGCAGTAACTGCGTCTTAGAAACGCGGGAAGTGTCAGATGAGTCAGATGACGAACAGGCGTGTAAAGAAACATCATGGTGTCGGAAAGCTTTTGAGAAGCCGTCAACTGATTTCAGTGGTGTTTCCGATGAAAATGAACCTTTTCTGGGTGAGCTGCCAACTCCGTACGAGTATTTCTCACACTACATGCCCAAGAGCATATTTGCTGAACTGGCTGACAAAACGAACATGTATTCTATATTCAAAGAAGGCAGATCGGTCCAGGCAAATGAAGAAGTAAGGGAACTTATGTCTCTCCATTTGCTGATGGGCGTTTGTCAAATATCCCCGTCTGCGTCTCTACTGGAAGCCCGTTCTGAAAACAGAAATGTTCGCAAGAGTGGATATGTCAAGGAACCGCTTTGAAAAACTTCCCAACTGCCTCCGAATTGTCGACGTCACCAGAGAGAATGATTCAAGTGATCGCCTTTGGAAAGTGAGACTGCTGCTCACTTCCTTCCAACAAAGATACCACAATATTACGTTGGAAGAAAGATTATGCATTGATGAACAAATAATACCATTCAAAGGTAAACTGGACATGAAGCAATACGTGAACGGCAAACCAAAGCCATGGGGCAGCCAAGTGTATATGTGGTGCGGAGCTTCCGGCATCATATATGATTTTATAATTTACCAAGGTTCCACTACATGCCTGAACCAAGACCAAAAAAAGGAATTCGGCATCACAAGTGCTCTGGTTCTTCATTTTACGTCAAGAATTCCTCATGGACTTGGGCACAAGATGTTTTGTTGACAATTTCTTTACATCTTTGACTGTGCTTTGAGAACTAGATAAGAAAAAGATTTATGCTGCCAGCACCACCTGCATCAACAGAACACAAAAGTGCCCACTGAGATCGGAAAAAGAATTGAAAAAAGAAGGAAGAGGGTCCTATGACACCGTAATAAGCAGTGATGGAAAAATTGCCATAACGCGGTCGTTGGATAACTGGGAGGTGAACATGGCATCCAACTTTTTAGCCGTTGAAGAGGAAGGTTGCGTGTCTCGGTGAAGTAAGGCAGACGGCGTTTTCATTGATGTGAAACGTGAACTGCAAGAATACAATAAGGCAGACGGCGTTTTCATTTATGTGAAACGTGAACTGCAAGAATACAATAAGAGCATGTTTGGAGTTGACAAGACTCACTTCCTGGTGTCGCTCTACAGGACCAACATTCGTTCTAGAAAATGGACGCTTCGCATACGTGCGCATTTCATGAACGTGGCTGTGACAAACTCCTGGCTAGAGAATCGGCGGAATGCTGAGCAACAAGGAATATGCATGAACGATCAGATGGACCTCCTAGATTTCACGCGGCATGTTGTGGAGGCCCTAGCAAAAGCTGGTGTTGGTGATTTGTCATGAAAGCGTTGAAGGCTATCTTCTTCCCCGATGCAGCGATTGAAAAAGTTTCAGTGTGACAATAGAAGACCAGTGGAAGATGTTAGATGTGATCAAATTGGCCACATTCCTGTTGCGAAAGAAGAGCAACAGTGATGCATGCTTGAAGGCTGGAAGGGCAAGCCACGAATCAAGTGCGAAAAGTGCAATGTCCACCTCTGCCTCACGAATGGAAGAAATTGCTTGAAAGAATTTCATGTCCATCACTGAAGGTGAAACGCACTGCAGGAAACTTTTATTGCATCAAAATATTGTCACGCACCAAGAGCCGTAGAGACCAGACAGGAACAGCGGGGCAGAAAGACACGAGCGTGTATCTTCAGAACAAGGCGCTAACCACACTTCTTCTTCGTTCTCTTTGCCCTTTTTGGCTCGCTAGGGCTTGCCGGCTTACAACTCTAGGTGGCATTATTCCCCCTCCCATTAGAGCATCGACTCGATGCTCATACACAAGGGGACGGCAGGGCCGATAAGGAAAAAAAAAAAAAAAAAAGAGAGAAGCGGTACCTATAGTGCACAAGGCATATGCAGGTGCAAAAAAAAATTGTCTGAGGTTGGTCATAAGAGAAAAAACCATTAACTGAGTTCACAGTTCATTCGAGACCTAACGGACAATGTCAAAAAAGGGCGAGTATCACCGCGTCACAATAAGGTGAGTATCACCGCGTAGTATAAGGTTTTAGGCGGACGACATGCACAATCTCTGTTCGTGGTGAGTGGCGTTGGGTCGTTGCCGAGCCTCCGTCTGGAATAACTTCGTAATTGACCTCGTTCAACCGCCGTAGTACTTTGTAGGGTCCGAAGTACTTGCTCAGGAGTTTTTCGCTGAGACCTCGCCGTCTAACAGGAGTCCAAACCCACACTTGGTCGCCAGGTTGATAGGAGACTTGTCGATGGTGGATATTGTACCTTCGGGCGTCTTCACATTGCTGCGATCTTATGTGCACGCGAGCTAATTGACGTGCTTCCTCTGCACGATGAATGTAATCGTCGACTTCCTAGTCGATGTCACAAGGAATCATAGCGTCTAGCATGGTTTGCATGTCTCTACCGTAAACGAGGCGGAATGGTGCAAACCTTGTCGTTTCCTGGGTTGCGGTGTTGTATGCAAACGTTACGTATGGCAGGATTTCGTCCCATGTTTTATGCTGCACATCCACGTACATAGAAATCATGTCCGCCAGCGTTTTGTTCAGCCTTTCTGTTAAGCCGTTAGTCTGGGGATGGTATGCGGTTGTCTTGCGGTGGTTCGTGTAACTGAGCTTGAAGATGTCGTCCAACAGTTTTGCCGTAAACGCTGTTCCTCGGTCAGTGATGATGAATGACGGGGCACCGTGACGAAGCACAATGTGGTGCATGAAAAACTGGGCGACTTCAGAAGCTGTACCGCGTGGCAATGGCTTCGTTTCAGCGTAACGTGTCAAGTAATCAGTTGCGACGATGATCCACTTGTTTCCGGAGCGAGACAAAGGAAACGGTCCAAGGAGGTCCATCCCAACTTGGTCAAACGGCGTACGCGGTGGATTGATGGGTTGTAAGAGGCCTGCAGGCTTTACAGGTGGTGACTTGCGACGCTGACATTCGCTGCATCCTTTCACGTAGCGTTTGACACAAGCTGCGAGTTTTGGCCAGAAATATAGCTGTCGAACTCGGTCGTGCGTCCGTGAGTATCCCAGATGGCCGGATGTCGGCTCATCGTACAGGCTAATAGGATGTCATCATGAAGGTCTTGAGGGACGACTAGAAGATAAGATCTGCTGCCAACACCGGTGTTTTTCTTGTATAATATGCCGTGTCGTAAGCAAAATGACGGCAACGTACGGGAATGTGGACGAGGAACAGACGCGGTGCTGCCTTCTAAATGATCGATGATGGGCCTTAACTCGGGGTCCGCTCGTTGCTTACCGAGGAGGTCCGCGCCACTGAGAGTCCCCAGGAAGGCGCTGTCGTCTTCTACAGCTGTATGGTTGGATTCCAGAGGTGC